CAGGGCATCACTGAGAACATTGGGATAGCAACCAGGTGGATCTCGAGGCAGCTCTTTCATTGAAAAGTGAACCATGGATGTGTGAGGTTCATGGTATTGTTATTGAAGGAGACAACAAAAATGTAATGGACTTCCTCCGTAGCAGCATGGAGCAACACAAGTAGAATCTTGACCCTCCAGGCAGCCTGAACTTTGCTTTTCTGTTTGGAGTTCAAACAAGTTATTTTTTATTTTGTTCTGTGTTTTTGTAACAAGGCTGCTCATTTTTGTGCTCAGCATACCTTGATTGATAGTTTTTTGTACTCCTATGAGCGAGATTCGAAGAATCTCTTTACGCTTTCAGAGTTGGATATATCATATAGCTTTTGATGCTTGTTGTGCATAGTTTTGGACAACTTTTATACCTTTTCACCTTTATATTATTGCAAAATGCACACCATTCAAGAAAAAAAAAACTCATTGTCAAACTTGATTGGCAAAATTGAGAGCTCTAAGATGAAAATTGATAAACACAGTTGGGCTCCACATAATAACAATCTTCTACGTGACGGGAGTAAGAATATATTGAGCATATTTGAAAAGACCATGAGTTCATATGAGTCGGCAGCCCGACAAACTTTGTCAGTTCACCTTAGCTTGGCAATACCTCAATTCGTATCAACTCGGCAAGAATGATGGGTTTTCATCAATATGCCTTGGATCATTGCAACAACATTGGCTACACCTACAAACATAGTGTTGTACCTCATGATGGTTCAAGCAGTCACAATTTTTTCTTTCATGTGGCCATTTATGTAACCTCTCTTGAGCGTGGTCAACCTCGAGCCTATAAATAAGAGATGTCCTCCCCAAGTGAAGGGCTCACTCTTTTTTTTATCCTCTTTTATAGACTATTAGATTATCTTCTTCACTTTATCTTCTCTCACAAACTCTGCCTAGGTGATGTGTGAAATGCATATACAATAACTTAAAGATACTTTTAAGTACATTTATGTTCATGAACAACACAAATTCAGCTCTATAAGTTAATAAAAATGTTTTACTTGCTTAACACTTAGAACAGAACAATTTAGCTTGCTCAAACTCAGCTTGCTTATGACCATACTTCCATTGCTTATAGTATCAGTCAAGGCTTCCTCTAAAAATTATGATCAGGTACGTATTCTACAATTAAAAATAGCTATGCAAGCAGCAGAAACAAAAAATTAATCTAAATTGGCCTTTGACACAATCCAGACCTACTAAAGATCCAGCCCAAAAGGCAGAAAAAAAGAAGTGACCCAACACCGCCAGCCTTGACACACGTTGGTCAAATACAAATGTTCGAGTACGAATGGTCGAATGTGAAAGACCGACTAAAAGACAAAGAGGAATGTAAATATAAAAGGTTGAGGCTTTCAGTTGTCCGTCAAGTCGGCGGTTGACTTTGGAAAGAAAATTTTCAAGAAGATTTGAATCTTACTAATGATGTAACTAAAAAAACAGCAAAATGTCCCTAAAGAGTCGGTAAAAATGATAACCTATGCTTATTTTATATAAAGAAACTGTCTCCCTATAAAAGAGGAGGATTAAATATAAAATGAGCTCTGATCCCCAAAATTGGATCTCAGTTGGGTGTGGTACAATCCTCTCTTCTAGCATAACAGTTCTCTCCCACTCTTTTTCTCTCTCTCTCCAGCCTTCTCAAGCCCATGCCTTTGGGCATGACTCGCGGATAAATGGAACTCAATGGGTACTACAAAACTGAGGCTCTTGTTGAAGGTATGCATGGCAGGAAACTACACCAGCTGAAAAAAATGGGCTATAAGAATAATTCTTCAAAATAGCATACAGCGTCAGATACCTCATGTAAAGCCTATTCACTTTCCCGTGAAGATCAACATCCCAACATCCCCGTAAACAACCTGAGATGCACAATTCTGTTAATAATAGTTCAAAATCCACTGATATGCACCGTGAAGCCCTCATACATACCCTAGAATGATCTCAAAGCCCATCAAGTACAAAAACATCAGGTCGAAAATCATCAGAAATTGGAAAATAGTATATACAATAGAGGTGAAAAGAAGGGTACCTCAAGGGCATGCCTGAAGTGCTTATGTTTGTGTAGCTCGCGAACAACACGATTGAGCTGGTACTTTTGAATCATCTTCCCCTCCTCCGCCCATTTCCAAAGAGAGATCACCGCACTGCGCTTGGGGTAGATGAGAGTTAGCAACCTTTGCCCTACAATGCGGCCACCATTGGCGCCATTGCTGCTACGGGTATCACAGGAGAAGTCAGCGGAAGACGAGGTTGAGATGGCGCGGATTGCGACTGTGGACGATGGTAAGAATAGCTCAGAAAACAAAGTGGAGAGAGAGGAGCCACAGCACAGAGTCGGAGGACAAGTAGCATTACTTCAATTTCATTGTTTCCTTCAAGTTCAACCCGATCCCAAATTGGACTTCATGAATATAAATATACTTATTTCTTTAAAAAAATAATTTTTGTTTTCATGAATTAGTTTTTGTCACCCAAATCATTATAAATAACATATTTAACACTAAATTCTTTCTATTTACAAAAGACTGTCCAAAACTTTAGGGGGGTGTTTGGTAGTACACTTTTAACATATTTTACGCAAATCCTCCCAAACACAAAACCAATGAGTTAAATATGAAACTTCACTAAATCCATTATCCTCTTCTTCGCAATATAATTCCTGGTTTTTTTTTAAATACGATGGATGAGTGGATTTAACAGATTTAAGGAGGAAGGCTTCTCTCGTCACATAGGAGGAGATCGCCAAACATTGCGAAAGTTCTCGGTATCGTGGTTGCCAAATAACTCTTGTAGAATCTTCCTGTGTTATCATCTTTACTGGTCTTTTTCATATGTTTCTTGTCCTCCATCATTGGGCGAGCTCCATCATTTCTCTCAATCCACATTATCTCAATGGTCGGAAGGTTGCTCGTACGTCGGCTTCAAGCCTTTCAAGAAGTTTACTTTCAATCCTGCTGCAGAAATACCCCTCAATCTCCCTGACAATAGCTTAAATTTCTCCTTGTATTTCGTAACCGTCCCCCTTGAGTAAGAGCATAGAACTACTCGCGTAGGCCTCATTCTTGAATGCCTCGAAAATGCTCTAACAAACAATCCTTAAACTAATCCCATGAGTACATCGGATACCTTGCCTCAATCTACTAAAACCAAGCTAAACCCTCCAAACATAATCCTGTCGTCTTAAGATTCTCTCCCTCAGTTAACTCATTGACTGCAAAGTATTGTTCCACCTGATAATACTTACCCATGTGCATCTTCCCCTTCGAGCATCTTCTCCTTCGAAAATCGATATCTTCAAGTTTCTAACCGTTGCATCTCCATCCCAACTTCCTCTTCCTCTGGTATTTCCCCCATGTGTCTAGGGGTGAAGCTCACCCCTCCAGTCATAGTCATAAACAACTCTTGATTCCCTCTTTCCTCCTTCGTGCTCATTCGTGCCCCTTGCACCATCCGTCCAATTTTTGGCCCAGCCCCCTCTATTGGAAGTCTCCACTCCCCCTCCTCTTGGAGTCCTGAGGGGAAGCTCTTGGTAATAGATCATGTCCTCGTCCTCTCATTCGACTACTTCCCTTTTGGCCTAGCCAAAGATTCCCTGATCAACCATTAGTCAGGGTTTGTAGTTGGAGCCCTGGTTGAAGGTAGCACATAAATAAGAGATGCCCTCCTCAGGTGAAGAGGAGTAATTCATTTTTTTTTCCTCTTTGATCAACTATTACATTATATTCTTCACTTTCTCTTCTCTCACAAGCTTTGTCGAGGTGGTGTTTGAAATGTGTATTCTATAATTTATAGATACTTTTAAGTACATTTATGTTCATGAACAACACAAATTCAGCTCTACAAGTTAACAAGTTAAAAAAAACAAAAATGTTTTACTTAATTAACACTTCGAGCCAAAGAATTTAGCTTGCTCAAGCTCGGCTTGTTTATAACCTCCCTCCCTCCCTCCTTCGCAGGCTCTATTCCTTTGGGCATGACTCACGTATCCTTCCCAAGCTCTATCCCTTTGGGCATGACTCGCGGATAATATGGTATTCAACAAGTACTACAAGACTGACGCTCTGGTTGAAGGTATACATGGCATAAAAGCTATACCGGCTGAAAAAAATTGTCCATGAGAACAATTTTTCAGGATTACACACAGCGTCAGATGATCAACCATTAGTTAGGGTTTGTAGTTGGAGCCCTGGTTGAAGGTAGCATATAAATAAGAGATGCCCTCCTCAGCTGAAGAGGACTAATTCGTATTTTTTTTCCTCTTTGATCAACTATTACATTATATTCTTCGCTTTCTCTTCTCTCACAAGCTTTGCCGAGGTGGTGTTTGAAATGTGTATTCTATAATTTATAGATACTTTTAAGTACATTTATGTTCATGAACAACACAAATTCAGCTCTACAAGTTAACAAGTTAAAAAAAAACAAAAATGTTTTACTTAATTAACACTTCGAGCCAAAGAATTTAGCTTGCTCAAGCTCGGCTTGTTTATAATCTCCCTCCCTCCCTCCCTCCCTCCCTCGCAGGCTCTATTCCCTTGGGCATGACTCACGTATCCTTCCCAAGCTCTATCCCTTTGGGCATGACTCGCGGATAATATGGTATTCAACAGGTACTACAAGACTGACGCTCTGGTTGAAGGTATACATGGCATAAAAGCTATACCGGCTGAAAAAAATTGCCCATGAGAACAATTTTTCAGGATTACACACAGCGTCAGATAACTCATGAAAAGCAAATTTTCACTTTCCCGAGAATATCCGCATCCCAACATCCCCATTAGCAACCTGAGATTCACAGCTCTGCCAATAATAGTTCAAAATCCACCTTTATGCACCGCGAAACCCTCATACTTACCCTAGAATAATCTCAAAGCCCCTCAAATACAAAAATATGAAGTCGAAAATCATCAGAAACTCGAAGATAGACTACTCAAAAGAGATGGAAAGAAGGGTACCTCGAGGGCATGCTTGAAGCGCTTGTGTTTCCGCAGCTCGCGAACAACACGGTTGAGCTGGTACTTCTGTATCGTCTTCCCCTCCTCCGCCCATTTCCGGAGGACGATCACCGCACTGCGCTTGGGGTAGATGAGACTTAGCAGCCTTTGCCCTAAAGTCCCGCCACCACCGCCGCCGCTACGGGTATCATATGAAAAGTCGGCGGAAGACGAGGTTGAGATGGCCCGGATGGCGACTGTGGACGATTGTAAGAATGGCTTGGAAGGCAGAGTGGAGAGCGGGTAGGTCGCAGCACAGAGGCGTCGGGCAAGAAGCATTACTCGAGTTCAACCCGGCCCGAAATTGGACTTCATGAATATAAATACACCAGCTGCGTTATTTCTTTGAGTTTTTTTTTATTCTTAATTTTCTATTTTAGTTTTTTTTTTTTTACATATCACGACCTCAAATTTCGCTATTTATTTTTCTATTTTAGTTTGTTTTTTTTTTTTTTGGGGAGTTACATAGGAAACACCCAAACAGTGTTTTTTACATATCACGACCTCAAATTTCGCTATTTATATAATAAGCACCCAAAACTTACAAAAATCCAAAAAGTAATAACATACCAAGTGAAGTTCGCCCTCTCTCCTTCACTGGAAGGCTACCGGAAGGTCTTTTCTTTCATCCTCTGTCTGACAATTGCGGGCGACTCATCGAATCAATCTCTTTCTTCCTCCCTTTGATTGTTGTGGACGCATCATAGAATTGAGCTCTTCCTTCCTCCGTTCGACACACTAGAAAGGTCCAGCGGATGATCCTCTTCAACAATTCTCAGATGTCGCACGATTTGTTGCCCTAGTCGTCGCACGATAAGTTGTTTTGAAGAGTATTGGTTAGTTTTTGTAACCTTTCTAATATATTTTAGCCAGTCTCATTTGTTGGAAAGGATTCATTTCGTTGGACATGCCTGCAATGTGGCATTTATGTGCAATTTGAAGTTCAGATGTTAAATACATAAGAACTGAGTGGTATGCCTGTAAATCCTCTTTAATTTTTTCATTATACTCTGCATTGGTATGTTATGTTCTCTATTAGTCATCTACATTTCAGGAATCACTTCAAAGCCATTTGATCTGCATAAGAGTGGAGGGAAAATGAGAGATTTCTTCCTCCTTGTCGCTTCGAAGAGGAATTCTGTGTGCTATAAAGAAATGAAGAGATTCAGAGGAAATTTGAGGAGTTTGCTTGGGGAGAAATTAGAGATAAGTTTATTTACTTGTTGTAGTTTGTATGACGTTGTTTTTATATATGAATTCCGAGTTTTGTTGTGTTTTTCCCATGAGATCTGAGTAGTTTTCTCTGTCTTTCTCTTTGTCTTGAGATTTGTGAAATGGTGATATAAGCCATGAAAATGTTAAAGAAATTGTGATGATCTTTTCACTTCGCTCTTAATTTACTTTCAATCTGGCTAATTGATTTGTTAAAATATGTTGAAATTTACAACTAAAATGAAGATTACATCCAAGATTCAAAGAGGTCAAAGCCCTTGGAAGTTTGGTGCAAATAAATAGGGAAATAACATTATCGGGCGTAGAATTGAAGATTTTAGAGTGACAGACAAAAATCTCCAATTCGGTCCTATCGTTTGGATGCTGAAGTGTAGACATTAGCCCTCAGGCGAGGGGAACGTGAGAGCTCCGAAGTGAGAGCCGATATCCTCCCAGTCTAGCCGTAGATTTAGTAAACAAGCGTAGGATTAATCAATGTTTTTTATGTCTGGACCAAAAAATAAATAATGGGTATGCTCTTATTTGACACAATACAACTAGATGTGATTCACTTTATACATTCACTATAATTTCTTGACAAGGAGGATGATGTTTTCTTATATATTGAATATCACACTAAAAACCTTATTAATATAATTAGTTATTTAAGAGTTATTAAAATTACATATTTATTTCAATTGCCTATTAGTGACAGATAAGCAAATTGAATTCTATTGTTGCGATTAAGTATTGTTTTTTCTAAAATCTTAGTTCGTAGTTCTAATATTACTCCCTGTGGGATCGATATCTAGGACTCTATTAGAGCCCTATATTACTTGAGTGATACGTATACTTGCGTTGATAAGTGCGACTTTACAATTACTAAATATTTTATACATACATCTTTATCGAGTGTATAACTGTTATTAAATTTTTTGTGCAGTTGCTAATGAATTAAATCTTTTAGCAGCAAGATTAAATACTTATATTTTTAAGCATATATAAAGTCGTTGTCACCCAGCGACACCCGACCTTCATATTCTTTTGCACTTGGCTTGTTTACTTTATTATGCAGTGTGCTTGTTATTCTCACTTTCTTGGCTTGTGGATTGTTTAAGTTCATTGCAAATATAATTTAGGCTCACTAAGGACTTAAAATTATAAATTTTCTACAAAAATCCTAATAAAATATTGAGATTAATCAAAATTTAGGATTAAAATATTTCAAGATTTTTTAAAACCCACTTTTAATTTCCTATGTGAACTTCGAGCCAGATTTAAAATGGTTTTATGTTACATGACTATCACTAAAGTCATACTGATAGGGCCTCCACATTAGGACTTGTTAGCTAATTGCATCATTTTGCATGTATCGAGGAGATGTTCCCACGCTTCTTCATCCCACCCAATCAAGCATAAGATTTCTACTTATGTGGTTGTCTAACACATTTAGGGTGTTAGAGACTTCCTCAATCCAGACTAGAAACAAGTTATTTGTGAGAGCATCTCGAATTTATAGCCATACCTCTCTTCTCTATCAACTCCAATAGCTTTTTCACCACTTTGACAGGTATAAATCCTAAATCTATTTTTTTCCTATAGTAGGTCATAGGATTTATAGTTTCCTTCTCTTGATCTTAGGGCTACCAAGGTTCCCTTAGACGACATAATTTATGGATTGCTGACAAGGGATATGTGGATGTGTTGTATTGACTACCTTCACAACTAGGTAGACTTAAATTCTTAATAGATTTGGATGACAGATTCGTGGTATCCTGACCCAACTATCTCTATCAGATTAATATGACTCTACCGTTCCTTTACTTGCCCAATTTGAGCCATGTCGCTCCTTTGACGCTTTGTTGATGTTGTCTCATAAACCCAACGAACATGACGACACCTATTTGGGATACGGTATTTCACTCTCCACTCTTTGAACAAGTTAGGTCAGAAAGCATAGTGCAGACTAGACGTACCGACTAGATTATTTCATAGGCCCCCATTCACCAATGAGCTGTTATCCATTCAGGACTGTGAGTGACTCACTCTCCGCTCTGTGGCTTGGCGAGAGCTTTGAAGGCACCATGATGCTCCTATAAGAAAACCATCCATTGCAAAACTGTCCCACCAATCATCACTTAAATGTAAGTTGGACTCCTTTAATCGAGAGTATTATTGGGCATCCTCCAAGATGTAATTAACCAAAATAATAATTTCCTTTGGGAGTGCTCTTGAACCCAAGACAAATACACAAATTTGGTTCCATGGTTACTTTAATAGCTTATGAAAGTATTTTTTCGTGGATAAATTGGCTTAAGATGTCTCGATCCGATCATATTTGGACGCACACTCTTGACTTATCGCATGAGGTTTACCTCACATATACTCTAAAACTTATTTCTTTAATTTATCTACCTAGTCTCCGTCATATTACCTCTTTTCCAATTCTTCCACTCCTCAAAATCGTTCTAAAGATTCAAGTAAGACGATTAGTTAGAAAAGGGAATCAATAGACGGTGATTAGACATGCCAGCGAATCCGAGTTATAGAAAGAACTGAAACACAATTAGTATTTCATAGAGCTTCAATAATATTATTAAGAGTGCATATAACTATAAAGCAACTATTTTATGTTAAAATAGTTACTTTAAAGTTATATGCACTCTATAAATATAGTATAGAAATATTTTTTTGTTGAAATGACATAATTGTATTGAAAAGAAAACTATATTGGCAAAAGAAATTGAAGTAGTATTAAAAAAGCTTCTAAATAAGATTTAAGCCTGATTGTCTGCCTTATTAGTCAATTCAAACTATACATCCTATATAAAGCTATAACTCGAGGTAATGTATTAGTTATTCTAACTTTTATTCAAAGTTAAATATGTTGGGAGCATAAATAGGTGGTAATACATATCTAACCTTAAAAAAGAACAACTTAGAGGTTCTAGATGAAATTGACTAATTGCACTTCCCTTTTAATGAAGTCAAATAGTGTCTGTCTAAAGAAAAAGCAAAAATACCAAACAATATGGAATGAGAAGCCATAACCAAATAATTTATAAGGCCAAGTGCCTATTGTCATCATAATACTTATGTTGTCCCCTTTAAATGTAATTCTAGAAAATTATATTAATTGTTTATACATTGTTTTTGACTAATTGGACATTTATTTTACATTTTTCCATCTTATATAGTGTTTTTATGATCACTCTTTGCTATATTATAGTTCTTTCTTCTTGTTGTAGTAATCTTATAATATTGTTGTATGATGGGTACTATGATTGCCGTATCAATTATTGTAACAGTCCCAGAAACCTTGTTCGAATCCTGACAAATGTATTCAAATTTTATTTGAATCATACATGAATCTTGCCCAAAAATGATTTGCACCATATCCAA